TCAAATTGGAGTTCTGCCTCCAGGCCAGAATTGCAGGAATGCACCACGTGTTGGCTGTTTCACTGCCCTCTGTGCCCCACTTTCAGCCCTGCTGTCAGGGCAAAGATTGAGCAGCATATAAATGGACACATTCAAAGTGCTTTGCCTTTCAAAGGTATGTTGGTATTAAATATACCTCATAGTTAAAGTCATAAATATGCACTTCTTTTCAGCACCTCTGCAGGTCTTTGTTGACTTAAAAGTTATTTTTCACATTGTACAGTTCAGTTCATTCATCAGCGAGAGAAAAAAGTGTTTTCATTAAATATTTTTCCTGTTCACCACATTTCCTGACAGCTCTTGTGATCCACACCATTTTGCTTTCATTATTGAGGACGGCTTGGATATTTTTGTTAATATGTACAATCTGATTGTTAGATAAACTGACTGCATTCTATACAACTACATTTAAATTACATGTTTTTTCTTTTTTTCTCTCTTACAGACAAAATGATGTGCCGGTGCACTTTCACTGCCCTTCTGTAACATGACAGTCATACAGCGTGGGGATATGGCAAGGCAATTATTGTCATGTCAGCATTCAGGACTGCTCCCCACTGAACTCTCCGTGGAGCCTCGTCTCCCTCTCCATGTCTCGTCTCCAGCATCTAAACCATTTCCTGAATCTTGGGTAGAACATTCATGTGCTCCACCCTCTGTGCTAAATGAAACTGGGCTTGTGGAAAGTCCATGAAAATGAAACGTCCTCACTGTGGTCTTAGTCTTCTTACAAAAAAACTTCAAGGCTCACATGATGAGGAGGCATTCAAACAGGTCAATAGATGTTTGCCTGGCCTGTCATCCACAGTGTTTTGTGTAGAGGGACTTCTTCCTCTTTGTTTTTCAGTTTGCAGAGGACATGGAGCTCTTTTTAAAAGCATGTGCTGACGAGCAGAGACTACAGGTCAAAGCGATGTTTGACATTTAATGGACAGATGAAGGCACTGGCTGTTTGTTTGTGTTTTTATCTGTTGTTTGTTTTTCAGTGTACAGAATTCCAGTTAAACTTATTATAAAATGCTGTTCACTTGTTTCCATACTTATAGTAAAAAATGCAAGTGTAAATGTAACAGCATTGTTTATACTTGTAACTTCAGAGTAAAAAGCTTATTGTTGATATTAACATTAATGTATTATCCTGTAATCAATAATATTTTTATGCATTTTACGCATTAACCCTCTGATCTCTATCCTGGCCATTTGGGGCCACTTCACTTCTCCTTGTTTGACTGCTACACTGCAGTGGACCAAAAGAATGACGCAGGTTTGATCTTAAGGCTCTAATAGTTGTGTGTGTTGTGCATGACATTGCAACGCAAACATGTATTTGCAAGATAGACTGGAATAACTTATGATGCATCAAATATTACACAGGCTGCAGTGAATTGTTGTTGATACAGGTTATTGAGCTTTGAGTTTCCCAGTCAAACGTAGCTTTGACACACATGCTAACACTCTTACTCTTGTACATTTCATAACAAGACACCATAGCCAAAATATTAGCTCTCAAAAAAAATTCAAAGCTGCAGCTGCAGCACACACAGCAACAAACACTGTTAGTAAATGTGTCCTGGAGTTTCTGCAGGTGCAGAAAGTGCTGCTGCTGTAAGTCAGCCTAACAGCTTCCAGATCACTGATATTTCTGGAAAGATGGCAAGAAGGGCATCACAGCTCATTTCTACAATCTCCCAGATCTTGGAATACAAGCCCCTGTCCCATGAAAACCACTTCACAGTAGTAGGAGTCCACTAAAACCTACAAATGAAGAGTGATCCTGGAAGAAATAGGGCGCACACTAGTGACCTCGACAGTTGCAAGACAGCCTTGTCCCCGATGCTTATATGAAAAAAAATATGAAGATTTATGAAACCATTAGGACTTTATTACTGTTTTATCTGAAAAGCTACTGGTAATATTTAACCTAACTGGGATTTAAAGTGTAAAAAACAGAATGTAGATAAAATTTTGGTTTTGATGAAAAGGAGTGGAGCTTGTGAGCCACAATGTAAGCAGTGTTGCTTTGCTGACATGCACTCGATGCTGGCAGTACAAGCATTGTAGTGGTTCTTATGTTTTTGTAAACTAACTGTATAATATATTGAGCCATTCAACAGTACACAAATGTTTGTAGGCTCCTTTTTGTATGCAACCTGCATGTCTTTCTGAATTAATTGTTTGTTTATATCATGTTTTTCAGGAAAAAGAAGAAGTTAAAGTCAAGTGGAAGCCTTGCTCAACATGGTATGTAGTAACAACTTTGTTGGACGGGAACAGACATTCATACTGTTGATAAATAGTTATCACCTCAATTTGAATTCATGTATTTGGACTAAAGTAAATTGGGAGCTGTTAGCTGTCAAGCTGCTCCTCTGTGAGGAGCTTGATAGCTGTCCACCTCCAAAGTCCATTATGAGTTTTGGAGGTGGACATGGTCAAGACTTTTAAGAGTTGGCATAAGACTTCACTTCTTTATAGAGCTTATAGTTGGGGCTGGTTCAGGTCAGCCCTTAGTTATGCTGTCATAGCACCAGACTGCTGGGGGTTAGTGTCTACTCGTGTCATTGTATATATCCAGGAATATGTGCCTGAGGATAGTTGTCATGAAATCAATATTAAATCAAAGTTTTCCTTAATGACCACAGCTGGCATGAGTTCTCCAAAGCTGCCTGCTGTCTCAGGATCTGTCTCCAAAAAGAACCAGGGAGCGCTAACATGTTATGTTCTAGACTGATGAAGAAAATGCACATTAAACATAGTATAAACTCACTATGTTAAGTAATGTGAAGAGGATGCCTTTAGCTCCTATTGGGTTGGTTCCTTGATCAGTGCAATACAGAATCATTCATCTGGTTTGATGTAATGTCCTTCAAACACGTCAAAATGAGGCTCTGTAGTCTGTGTGGCCTCCACATGCCTGTATGACCTCACTACAACACCTGGGCATGCTCCTGATGAAGTGGCAGATGCTCTCCTGATGGATCTCCTCCCAGACTCCAGGACTAAAGCATCTGCCAACTCCTGGACAGTCTGTGGTGCAGTTGGTGGATGGAGTGAGACATGATGTCCCAGATGTCCTCAAATGGATTCAGGTCTGGGGAATGGGCGGGCCAGTCCACAGCATCAATGCCTTTGTCTTGCAGGAACTGCTGACACACTCCAGCCACATGAGGTCTAGCGCTGTCTTGCATTAGGAGGAACCCGGGGCCACCCGCACCAGCATTAGTCTCACAAGGGGTCTGAGGATCTAATTTCAGCACCTAATGGCAGTCAGGCTACCTCTGCCGAGCACACGGGGGCTGTGCGGTCCCCCAAAGAAATGCCACCCACACCATTAGTCACCCACTGCCCAACCATCATGCTGGTGGATGTTTCAGGCAGCAGAAGGTTCTCCAATATGTCTCCAGACTCTGTCACAAGTACTTAGTGTGAACTTGCTTTCATCTGTGAAGAGCACAGGGCGCCAGTGGCAAAGTTGCCAAGCTTGGTGTTCTCTGGCAAATGCCAAACATCCTGCACGGTGTTGGGCTGTAAGCACAACCCCCACCTGTGGACGTCGAGCCCTCATACCACCCTCATGGAGTCAGTATCTGACCGTTTGAGCAGACGTGCATATTTGTGGCCTGCTGGAGGTCATTTTGCACAGCTCTGGCCTTTCTTTCCTACCCCACAGTACCTTTCCTTATCTTTTGTTTCCTACTCTTTTACTTAGTCTTTGATCACGGTTGTCTTTCTAGATAATTAATGTCATTTGTTCTGGGGCGAGTCACTGGCTCGGGTGCATTCTGGGACTGTCAGTTCACCAGTGTGCTGGCATGCTTCTTAACAAACACACCACTACAGCAAACATCTCAGTTGTACTTGTTGATTTCTTCAACAAAACACTGAACAAAACATGTCCTTGTGAGTGTGCTGCCTGGTGCTTTTACATTTTGTGGTAATTTGAGCAGCCCAGAAAGCATCCCATGAATTCAATTATGTTATTGTATCTGAACATGTACACGAGTCATTAAATTAGATGGGAAAGAATGATTCAGGGTAAACAACTGCACCAAGGGAATTACATTTTTCTTCTCAACATGTAAAATGTCTGTTGATAAGCAATTTCTGAAAACAGACATTATGAAAATCACATTAAACAGATGTGATTAACTTTTTATTCTAGCAAACATAACATCAATGATGACACAATCACTCTTCATCAGAAGTGCTCAAATCACTCTCATCGTCTGGAACGTCCTCCTCCTCCTCCGAGTCCATTTCCAGGAGTGGTTGGTGGCTGAGGATTCTCTTGTACACGTCCTTTACTTTGAGCGTTTCAGCTTTCAGTTCACTTTGTTTTTAAACCAGGCTATGGAGTCCTTTCTGTGCATCCTCCGACATGCCAACAAGGGAGGCTGTAAAAACAACAAAACTATTAAATATAAGTAAAACAAACAAACAAACAAAAAAACTCACCTCATAAACACAAGGAGTTAGGATCATGTGATTAAACTTTTTTTAAGGGAGAAGGCAGTGTTAGCTAGCAACCCAAATATAGGTAAAAGATCCAGTAAGACTTTAGCATCTGCTATTATTTTCAATCAATTCATCACCAAATGTATAAATAAATAAAAGATGTGCTTACAGTCTGAGGAGATTGTCCCCAACACCACAGATCGCATTTGCAACACTGTCCAGTGATGCTGCATCTCCTGCAAAGGATCATCTCCTCCTCTCTCAGGCACCTCACAGCCATCACCTTCTCAAAGACCTTTCTCTTTGTCCGGAGGTCAGCAGCAGCTACAGTTTAACAGCATCAGATGGGAAAACATAGCAGCATATTATGATTCAAGAACAAAACATTCAACTGCTGCTCAGATACTGGGAGTTTGTTTAAAAAGGATATTTAGAAATCAAGAGCTTACGTTCACTTGTGCTCTGCCAGGGCCAAACGTCGCTCTGCATGAGGCATCACTGGATACGATTTGCTTTGTTGCTTGTTTCCTTGTTGTAGTCGTCAACAGCAGCCGCCAAGCGTTTCTTCTCATCTAAGATGACCTTGTGAATTCTGTGTCGCCTCTTGTTGCTATCTGTAAATAATCATAAAAAGGAACACCTTCACATAATGCATATATTTACATTTTAATCTACACTCATCAATTCGTTTGCTAGAACAAATCACATCCAGCTTAAACAAACCTGGATCTGATTTTATTCTGTTTACAAAGTAGCTGTACAAGCTGTACAAACTGAGCATCAAACGGTCCGTTTCAAAGAAACTGTGACACCATTTTGTCTGTAAAGACTTTGTGTTCGCACTCTGATGATGACGACAAGCTCCTCTACTCGTGCCTGCAACGCTCCAAGGCTGCCATCAGTTTGATCCGTTTCTAAGTGAGAGGAATATTAATCAGAACACAGGATGAGTAACAGTCACCAAACTACAGTGGACTCTGTAATCACTGACTTGATGACATTCATTATAAGACATCTGGAGCCTTCATGTGCTGCATTATCATGAGATAACAAGTATGTTGGTGTTCAGCTTTATAAAACCAACTAGTACGACATCACTTCAACCCAGGTCCAATCCAATTTGATCAAACGCAACAACTCTGCCATCAATTCTGCTTTTACAAGCTTATTTTTCATTGTTTGTTGACACTGTCAGAAAGATCTTAACTCTAAGTTCTTTAATGAGGCCATGGTGGGTCCTGTTGTTATACACGAGTGCATTATATTGAGACTCACCTTCAGCCCATTGCTGCAGTGTGTCGTCATCCACACCCAGCTCATTTCTGCTCGCATTCAGGCTCTCCACTTGTTCTCTGAGGATCCTTATGATCTAAGAATACATTAATAAATGTCATTCATATGGACATTTTTAGAGTACTGGTGTTTTTGCCCCATTACCACACACATTAAAATGGGTGTTGAAAAAATGACCTTTAGATATCTCTGGCTCAAAGTGCGGCCCAGTTGTTCCACTTTCCTTTTGTTCCAGCCCAAAGCCAGGAGGCTCAGCATGTCTGTTCGCCCTGCATTTCAGTTAGTATACAAATAAGAATGAATGAGCAGGAGACTGAGTGGAATCTCACACACAGACACACACCTGCTTTAGACATGTACTTCGTTGTGATGGCCGCCCTAGACAGGAAACTGTTTACTTGCTCCACCTCTTCTCCAACTGTAGAACCGGCCCCATCCTGAAACGCACCTCCCCATTTGATCTATAGAAAGGAGGTCACAATACATGACTGCTGAATTCATTCAACCTTATAACAAAATGTCTTAAACGTATCCAAGCCTACAAGCTGCAGTATACCTCGCACATCCAAGTGTGAGCTACTCAAAATGAAGTACACATTAAGATAAAGTCAAGTAAATAGTATTACGACAACACCAAGAGAAAAACAAAATAAAATCCACCCATCCAAATATGTATCCACACACACACACACGTATGAGTATATGGTTATGGCGTTAACGTCATTTTAACAAGATTAACGCTGACAGCACTGATATATATGTGTATCTGACATCATTTGTGTGTCTCTGGATGTATTTCACAAACTCAGCAACTTCCTCATCTTTCTCAATGAAGACACCTTCAAAGTTCCCCTGCTCTGAAGTGCTGAACGAACACGGTGACAGTTGTTTGAAAAGAAACATCAAAATACAATTTTTGTACAAATCCATATTTGATTTATGTACACAATGCATAACGTACCTTGCATTTGATTGAAAGCGATAAAGCTTGCAGTTTCCATCAACTGAGACGGCGAGCATGTCTGGAGTGCAGGCAGGGCAGCTAAAGCATGGCTCCTTGCACATCCTGTCCACCTCAAACTTTACAGCACTCCACTCCAAGAAACTTTTGCTGAAGGCATCAGCTGATATTCGGCCAGTCTTTTAAGTAGAGGACAAACAACAGAATATTCACGGACAGTCATCGTAAACATTGATTTGCACAATTTCCTTAAACTTGACAAATTTAGAAACTCACCCTTCCAAAATGGGCTGTTCGTTCATCCAGCACTTTGACAAAGGCCTTAAGTGACATCCCTGCTGCAGCTTCTTAATGTCATAGAAAGACTGAAAGACATCCATTGAAAACAGGGTGCAGAAATTTAAGGTGCCAGGCCAATATCCACCACCCTGGAAGTCCTTAACTGAGGGGGACCACATTAGGCCACAGCTGGTGCAGCTCACCACTGGCAGTGCAAGGTTATAACGGCCTTTAGGAAGGATAAGGAGAAATCCAGTCATGGCTCAACAAAGACATTCATTTTTTCCCATGTTGTTTTCAAAGCGGTCTGGTAAATCCAAATGACCTTTGACAGGTGCCCACATATACTGCGGGCCGAGGGTAATTCAAAACAATGTAGCAATGTACAATTTGCACTAAAACCTGCAAACACATCTATTGTGTATGTACTGTGTGACAAAAGAGCAACTTACCATTTATGGTTACAAGAGCCACAATTGCACCGGGTGAAACCTCAACGTTACCTGCTGGGCAGTCACACACAGTCTGGTCTTTGCACAGGCAACAGCCGAACTAACATTAAAAACACACAATATATATAAAAAGAATTGGAAATTAAATGATACACAATAAATATACAATAACAGCACACACTCATAGTACATAGCAATAAATGCATAAGACTTAAAAACCGTACATATTGGATTGTGAAACTCTGATGAAGGCTGCAAAAACCCTCCTGTTACTGCCTCTCTGCTGTGCAGGACAAAGCGTGTGTGAACTGCAATATCACAGTCAGCACAAAGGAATGGAAGAGGCAGGCAGTCCAGACACCTCACAACTACTTGTTTGCCACACTGACACACACGGTGTGACTGTGGATCCAGAGTAGCTAACATATTGTCTATAAGACAAGGCCTGGCCTCCTTCCACTTTAGCAAGGACACCATGTTTCTGATCGCCCAGTGAGTAGCAGCTGACTCAGACAACGTCTCACAAGTCATGGCTGCGTCCTCTTCTCCATCCTCCAACAACTGAAGGAGCTCCTGACGAAGCACCTCAGTTCCACACACTAACAGAAAAAAAATAAAGAAACTCTTCCACAAAGTGAAAACACTCTAGGCAGTATGTTTCTTAGGACTGCACAAAAGCCCTGCCTAACTCAACTATAACAACAAATATAAAAGTAAAGGAATCACAATATATACAGAAGGTAAAGTACCTTTTGTGGGTTGACACTGGCAACATAACTAGGTTCTTCAGTGGACACTGATGCTGATCTGCAGACACTGGGGGGAAAAAGAGATTGAAGATATTTACTTACTGAAATTCTTTGGTGAAAACAAGTTGTGAGATAAAATCAATGGTTGTGAGAACACTGACCACGTGGCAACTAGTACTTCGACTGGATGATGGTCTTTGAGGAATAAAATCTCCCTGTCTGTCAAGGGCGGCATCACTTACATTGATTAGATACCTTGAGTTTGTAAATGATCAGATTACATAATTGGAATACAATGTATCCAATTCAGGGTTGCAGGAGGATGAAGCCTATCCCAGCTGATACAGGACAAGACAGGCTTGCCAGTTTATTGCAGGGCTAACACGATATGTGTACAGAAAATCACTTAAATGTTTGATATTTCTATAATAATCATAATTATGACTATTATTTAAAGGTTTCTTTAAATAATACATTTTGATTTTTATAACCTCTAAAATATATAAACTGAGCTGTTCAGATTCTGACCTCTGACCTCACTGCAGCTCCCTCTTGGAAGTACGTTCTGCTCTTGTCTACCCCCAGTGATGACCGCCTGCCCTTGATATCACGTACTGTACCTGAGGAACAAAAAAGGACAAACACTTGCCTTCATTTAAGAAGTACATTCATACAGAGGTAATCTATGGAAACACACTAGTTCACCCTTTGGGAGAAATCAGTTCCTGTGAAACATTTCTGTAAATGAACATCATGTGGAGAATGAATGAAATGAGTTCTTCAGGTGACTCAGCAGTCCCACACTGACAAATGAAATCTAGTTAAACTATTAAGCATATTTGCTCTTCTGAAATCTGTGTTAAACAACAACAAACATAAATTAGTAACAAAAATACAGCTGAGTAGAGGCTTTACAAACCACCAGCAGCCATAATGCTAAATTTTAATCTTCAAATGTTTCTGAGCCGTCTTCAACCTGCTTTTAACACATTAAAGTCCCACAGTCAATGCAGCCTGACTCAATCCTAGATGTTCAGCACACAGAGACACAGAGGTGCCGTTTAAAGTTTAGTGATAACCTGAGTCACTGATCATTTGCAGTATTACAGAGTCTGGCAGTCTTTGCATGATGTCCACGTCACTGTGAGTTTCTAGCTGACTCTCAGGTGTGACAGGTGTGCCAGCAGGAAAGAGTAATAATAACCTGCATCCTGAGGTTTGTCATGCAGGATTAAAGCAGCCAGGCTTTGTTCACACAGCTAGGATTGTATTTTACACTGACCCTGGGTCAGTATAAGTATCATACAGTTTAAACGAAGCACTGAAACTTGCACATATTTATTACAGATGCACTGAAGCTAATCGAGATATTTGCTGTCAGTCTGTGGCTGCGATTAAACACTTTACTGGAAACTTTATTAACTAGTAACTTCATCAGTCATGACAGAAGCTAATATTTCTGTGCTAACATCGTTTAAACAGTAACAGCTTTCCTCCAATATAAGCTAACGTTTACACCGTAACTTTAAGCTAGCACCATAAAGACGGTAAAACACGTAATAACATCTACAAATGCATCTTAAAGCTGTTATATTAGCACTCGGTGTATTACTAACATAACCACATTAACATTACTGACACTCGCTGACTTTTAATAGTCATTCTATAAATGCTGTCCGTTTAAATGGTCTTACCTGGTGGTCCATATGGTCCATAAGTGAAGCAGAGGGAGCCTGACCATGCGTCACACGTTTGACGAGTTGGAGTGAGAACGTGTTGGGCTATAAGGAACACACTCACTTCCTGAGCCCTGGCAATAAGAGACGTTTTGTGTTTTATGATTTATTGATATGTTGATCCTTTCTGACCTGCGTTAATGAAGCAGTCATTAGAGCACCATGTCCGCTAGAATAGTTCTGTAGTTTGATGCTTGAGTCGTTGCAGACTTGTTGAAACTCCCTCACCCGTCAAAGCAGCGTCTTGTTATTCGAGTCCAGCAGATGGCAGTGTTTCACTGTCTGACGGCTGTCTGAAGCTTCAGCTGGATTATCCGTTTCATGTTTGATTAGAGGTTTGTGTGTGTGTGTGGTGTGTGTGTGGGGGGGGGGGGGGGGGGGGGTTTAGCCACGAGTTGTCCACGATAAAGCATATTGAATGGCCTGTCTAATATTGTTAGAATTCTCCTTTGGGTTAGTTTCATTACTCAATCGGGACATTTATTTGGAAAAAGAAAAAAAGAGGGAAAAAAGAAAAAAGAAAAAGAATTAAAAATAAATCCTCATAGTTTACATTTACAAATATCAATACTGAATGTTACGTCCCTCTGCAGCTTCTAATCGTCTCAGTGTTTTCAGCTGGTGCTAATTGGCCACACCTAGTCAGGTGTGGATAAAAGCATACCTGAGGCAAGCTTCCCGGCAGTGCACTAGTCTTTGCCTTGGTGGCACCAGCCATTTTAGCCAACCTGGTTTGCCATTTTAGGATGAAACCTCTTCTCACCCACACTCTGTTATTCATCTGTTTTATGTTGCGGCTTTTGAGCCGGGTCGTAACATGAGTATAATCACACTGGAAGTACCAGCATCAGGAATGTGGTTTCTTCTTTTTGGATCTATAATATTTAGTCTGGTTAGTTATTGTTACTGTAACCAGTGCAAAATCTGCTCTGATGACTCAACGTTAATGTTTGAGCCCTGAGCGCTAAAAGAAGTGTTTTGTAAAGTATTAAAACTACCTTTAATGGAAGGAAAAATGGATCACTGCTTCCTATAGAGTTGGTTTTCTCTGTGTGTGTAGCCACTCTGTGCCTGGTGGACTTGGCTGGCAGTGAGCGAATGGTGAAGAGCCAGTCTCAGGGTGACCGTTTCAAAGAGATGACCGCCATCAACAGCTCACTGTCCAACCTGGGCGTCGTTATCGCCGCTCTGGCCAAAAAGGTCTGCAGCTGCAGTTTCTGTAGTCTTAGATGTCACACCTGCTTTCTTTACATTTACAGTATTAATGATTTTTTTGGCCTTTGTGTTCCAGGAGACTTACGTAGCTTACAGGAACTCGAAGCTCACGTACCTCCTTCAGGGATGTTTGGGGGGAAACGGCAAAACGTGAGTTTTGTTGACATCACAAATCTTATAATGAGACACATAAAACTGAAGGAATTTATCCCCAAAAATATTTAACAGCGTTTGATCTCATCACTTCAGATTGTGACTGTTTATTCTTTGGCACTAATTTTGGATGTCTTTATTTGCAGCTTGATGTTTGTTAACATTGCTCCGGAGCCGACAGCTTTGGGGAAACTCTGAACTCATTGAGGTTTGCCAGCAAGGTCAGTGCAGTCTTGTTTCCAGTGTTCATTGGACAGAGTACATTAATGATGTCCTTACATCAGCTGTTATGGTAAACCAAAGCCATACTCCATATCCATTTTAATACCTTGGTGTGTAATTCATACTCACACTTTGTCTGAAGAGTAGGGATGTTCCTGGCGTCTTATTTACTAGTCGACTAATCGAGGGGAAATAATTAGACTAACCAACTAATGTAAAACTAAGGAACATTCAGATATTGAGTTGATTTTCAGAACTGATTAATAGAAACTGTCAAACTAGACGCAAGGATCTTAAACCATTTATCACATTCTGTTAAATACAAATGAAAATGCATTACTACAAAAGATGTTCTATTAAAATATGACAATCATTTGAGAATCTAAAAGTACGTCTAAGTGTGGCGAGAATGATTCAGGTAATACATTATACAGCCGTTTTCTAGTCAGGTTGTGGGGCAGCAGGAAGGACTACTCCTGACCACAGCTGATAGATGTAAACTGGCTAGCATGACCAAGGATGCTGGGGCCTCCTACTGGTAGGACGTGCCCAGCTGGAACAGCCTCCTGGCCAAGGTGGCTGTCACCTTTTGATGTGAAGGAGTAGTGACTCTACTCTGAGCCCCTCCCCCATTGACTTAACTGCTCTCCTAAAGGAGAGGTTTCCACCTCTCAGGAACTAATTTCCTCTGCGTGTATCTGCGATCTCAGTGTTAACAAGAAGATCAGGGTAGATTAATAGATTTATGGCGTTTCTCAACAACAGTGCACCATCTGGTGGTAGATCGCTGCCTAACATTTAGAACACAATGTACCAGCATTGGGCATCAAAAATGTTAACAATTAGATTGAACGACTGGTAAGTCTGATACAGACTAGTCACATAAATCCTGATAGAGCCCACAGAAGGGCCTGCACCATGTGTGTGGCTGCTTTGCAGTTTAACCACCAAACACTCGTCTGCAGTGGAATTTCTTGAGCTAATCGATTCATTTATTTCATTTCTTCTTCTAATTAATGTGGAAAATGGTGGCAAAGGTGGCTGAAATGAGTGATTCCTAGAGTTACATGTCAGTTTACAGCATAGGGATTAAGTTTACAGTATAAATACCACTGAATTGTACAAGGATTTGAAGTTTCACTGTAACTTTAACATTTTTGACAATTTTGTTTTGTTTTCTCCCCCACAGGTGAACGACTGCGTCATCAGGACAGCGACTGCCAACAAAAAGTAGAATTATTAAAAAAAAAACCTGAGTTTTCTACTTTTAGGTTCATCTCAGGTTTCCACGCTGAGTTGGTCATGACAGTTGCCATGTGTGATGGCATGCCACACATGGTAAGCTCCACACCTCACCACCCGTT